ATGGATTATATCCCAACATAAACAAAACAAAAATCCTCACAACTGGACCAATAAGCAGCGTCATGATAACTGAAGACTGAAGTTGTCAAATATTTCATATTATTTGGTCCCACAATCAACATCAATGGAAGTAACAGTCAAGAAATTAGATGACATATCGCACTGGGAAAATCTGCTACAAAATACCTCTTTAAACTACTGGAGAACAAGGGTATCTCTTTGAAGACTAAGGTGCACCTAACCCAAACCATGGTATTCTCAGTCACCTCATATGCAAGTGAAAGCTGGGCAATAAATAAGGAAGACCAAAGAAGAGGTGATTCTTTCGAGTTGTGGTGTTGGCAAAGAATACTGAAAGCACCATGGACTGCCAGAAGAACAAACAAATCTGTTCTCATAGAAATACAGCCTAAATGCCCCTCAGAAGTGAGAATGGCCAAATTTCATCTGATCTACTTTGATCATGTTGTCAGAAGGGACCATTTCCTGGAGAAGGATATCATGTTTGGTAAAGTGGAGGGTCAGTGAAAATGGGGAAGGCCTTCAATGAGATTGATCGACACAGTGACTGGCACAATAGGCTCAGGTATAGCAAGGACTGTGAAGTTGGCACAGGACTGGGCAGTGTTTCGTTCTGTTTTATATAGGGTCACTATTAGTCAGAGACGACTTGAAGGCACCTACATAACAACAACATATGCAGATGAAACAACCTTGCTTGCTGAATGTGAAGAAGACTTGAAGCACTTACTGATAAAGATCAAAGACTAGAGTCTTCAGTATGGATTACACTTCAACATAAAACAAAAATCCTCACAACTGGATCACTAAACAACATCATGATGAATGGAGAAAAGATTGAAGTTGTCAAGAATTTCATTTTACTCAGATCTACAATCAATGCTCATGGAAGTAGCCATCAACAAATAAAATGATGTATTACATTGGGTATCTGTCCTCATTTCTGCTGCAAAAGACCTCTTTCAAATGTTCAAAAGCAAAGATGTCACTTTGAGACTAAAGTGCAGGTGATCCAAGCCGCAGTATTTTCAATCACTTCATATGCATATGAAAGCTGCACAATGATTGAGGAGGCCTGAAGAAGAACCAATGCCTTTGAATTATGGTGTTGCTGAAGAATATTAAATATACCATGGACTGCAAAAAAAAAAAAAAAAGAACAAATCTGTCTTGGAAGAAGTAGAGCAACAATGCCCTTTAGAAGCAAGGATGGCGACACTTTGTCTCAATACTTTGGATATGTTATCAACAGGGATCAGCCCTGGAGAAGGACATCACAATTGGTAAAATAGAGGGTCAGTGAAAAAAAGGAATATGCACAACGAGATGGACTGACAAGTGGCTTCAAGCCTGGGCTCAAACACAGCATCATAGATTGTAAAGATGGCACAGGACCAGGGAGTGTTTTGTTCTGTCGTGCACTGGAATGCTCTGAGTTGGAACCAACTCAGTGGCAACTAATAACAACAATAAAGAAGGTAAGTTTTTTTATTTGAAGAAACAGCTATAAGTACAATTTCAAGAACAACCTAAAATAAGAAATATATCAGTGCACCTTTAATTATTAAGCCCCCTCCCCCTCCCATGGATCCTTTGCTAATTAACTCCTACTGTCCTTCATGTTGCAAATGAAGCACCACTTGCTAAGACTTCCTTCACTAGATCAAATCCCTAGTAGATGCTCTTACAGTATCACCTGGTAGCACTGAACATTGTACCAATTTTATATTTATTTTTGTGATTACTTAACTAGTACCATCCTACTCCATTTGACTGTGAACTCTATGAGGACAGATACTGTGGGCCATATATATTTAATTCACCCTTGTTTCTCTAGTGACTTTTTCAGTAGTTATTGCATGAATGCATAAATTAAAAGTATATATTCACATGTAAAGAGTTGATACGTGAATTGGGAATATCATTATTTGCTAAAATAGCTTGTACCAAGTGAGCTTCTCCTTAACACACTTTTTACCCTTATTACAGCTACTATATGTAAATGAAAACATTAAGTATCCACTGATTTAACATATTGAATAAATCAGATACCTTTTTAAATTTCAAATAGTTTTGGTTATTTTGAATAGCTCAGTGAAAAATGCAGGGTTCAAATGATAGATGTTATTTATCAAATATTTGATATATTACATATATATTATATATGTTGTTGTTGTTGTTGTTATGTGTTGTTGAGTTGGACCCGACTCATAGCCAACACCTCCTTGGGTTTCTGAGGCAGTATCACTATGGAAGTAGATTGCCCCATCTTCCTTCTGAGGAGTGGCTGATGGGTTTGAACTGCCAGCCTTCTGGTTAGCAGTCAAGTGCCTTAGGCACTGCGCTATCAGAGCTCCCATATAATATATAGACATACATATAAATATATTATTTAGGCTACTATTATAATAAACGCAATTGACTTTAAATATGTTTTGTGGAATAATCTGTGAATGCTATTAAAGCAATTCTACATTTTTCATTTGCAATATGTAAAAAATATGGTATACATTATACTGAAAAATTTCTTTAAGATAATGAATACTCAGGCCTGAAACTGAACTTACCCCAGAGGCTCAACTTTCAGCCAAACAAAAGGCAAGTTTATGAGGTAAGTGAGTGTTCTGGTTACCTAGTGCTGCTCTGGCAGGAATATACCACAAGTGGGGTGTCTTGAACAAACAGGAGTTTATTCTCTAACAGTTTGGAGGCTTTATGTCTGAGTTCAAAGTGCCAGGCTCTAGGGGCTGGGTGAAAGCCCCTCAACCTTGGGCTTCAGCTCTGCCTCCTGCTTCCTGCCGACTGAAACTGGAGGCTTTTCTTCACTCAGACAGCTGCTGGCTGCTAAGACTGACAAGCCCAAGGTTGACAAGTAAAAAGGCACAGTCCTGATGTTACCAAACTACACAGCAGGCCATTAACTCAAGTCCACTGAAAGTCCCAAGGTCAGCAGAGCATGGCAGGCTGCTGAACAACAACATGGCTACATGCAAGGCTACATTCAAGTGTGCCATAAGCTAGAGACCGTTCCCCAAGGCTTCCCCTTATATACAGGAAGCCGACCACGTCCCTAAGCCAGCTACTCAGCCGCTCACAGTAGATTCCATCATGGCGTTGATTACCAGTCTCATATGGGGAATACTACATCCAGCTGCCCAGCCACTCAACCAGGCCCAGCCAAGTTGACACACAAACTTAACTATCACAGTAAGCAATAACACAGGGTGGTGGTGGTGGTATGCGCTCATTAGAACAATACACTGTAAGAGATCAAAAGGGTAGCATTTGCCCAGGCATACAACTCAGTAGGCAGGAAGGGAAAGGAAAGAAGGACAAGGGAAATGGCACCAAGGGATGAAATGGGAAGAGCACTGTTACGCTGTATTTCAATCAATGTCACAAAGTGAATGGGAAGAGCGCTGTTACACTGTATTTCAATCAACATCACAAAGTGAAATGGGCATGAATTGTTAAATGTAAAACCAATTTGCTCTGAGAACTTAAATCACAATAAAAAATATAAAATAAAATAATGAATACTATAATCTGAACAATGAAATTTACCTTTATAATGCATTTTAAAATTATACTTGAAAATTTTTAAGTTGTATAATGCCTATACTTGAGAAAGCTACAGTAGTAATTAATTATTCCCAATTAAATTAAAATTCATTCCATGATTATCACTAATTATTTGAGCTGCGGAAAGTCTGTTGAAAATTTGAATATCTAAGTAAAGAATTTAGGGCATGCAGATATGATTATAGGACTGCTCTTTTGACAGTTTATATATTTAGATATTTAGATAATAAGAACACAACATAGCTTTTTTTTTCATTTTCTACTTAGAAAAAGGATTCCATTTCAGTAGTAAAATGTAATGCTAAGATAAATACTTTTTTTGCAGTTTTAAAATGATGCTTAGTTCAACTTTCTTTGTCATATTACTACTTCCTATGTTTTCTTCTGCAGAAAAAAAAAATGCTAAATACTATCAATTTCCAAACTTTCCCATACTTTTGTATATTAAGTTTTTCAGTAACATCACATTAAAGAAATTGCCAAGAAAATTCTGAAGGATCAGATGATGATATCTTTCTTCTCATAATTTGATAGCTGCTCTGAGTTTCGCTGAGCGCCCTCTTGGGTTGTGCTGTACTTCCTCATCTTCCGGAGTAAGCACCTTCTTGTGTATCAATTTCCACATTAAAGGAGCCCTTATAGAGACCTCGTCCTTATTTTCTTGACCTGAACTCAGTGGTGATATTTTTAATACCTTCTGTCTAGCACTTTGGTTAAACCTCTCTGTCATGTTTATCCCAAACAAGAATCGTTTGACAATGCGATCCTCTAGTGAATGGAAGGAGAGAGTAACAAGACGACCACCAGGTCTCAAAAATTTCTGAGCTGTCTTCAGTCCTGCATAGAGTTCGTTGAGCTCATTGTTCACAAATATGCGAAAAGCTTGGAAAGTCTTGGTGGCAATATGAGTAGATCGCTGAAGCAAGTCTTTTCGTGCATAAGTAGCAGAGACGGGAAATGCACCTGGGAAGAGATATTGAGAAAACAAGGACAATAACATTAGTATTTTCCATTGTAAATCTACTAGCTTGTGCTGTATGTACGTTTTTAAAAATTAAGTTTTCTTAGAAAATTGCAGCTTTTGGTTTATATTTCTCCTTCTTATTTCAAAGCATTCTAACAAGGGTTAAAGCTATGTTTCAGAGATATCTTTTGTAGTTCACAAGGATAATGTTAATTTCAGTCTGATGAATTTCCTTTATTATTTCATGAACACAGACCCAGACCTGTTAGCCAAGAATTCTCATTTTTAATTGTTTGAAAATACCCTGAATCTTTATTTTTGAGGGATAATTTCACTGCCTTTTTTCCTCATAACGTTGAATATGCCATTCCACAGTCTGGTAGCGTCCATTGTCTCATTATTGTTCTGTTTTATGTAACACAGTGTTTTTCTTTGCTACTTTCAATATTTGTTTTGTAGCAATTTGATTATGATGTGCCTCAGCATGGTTTTCTTTGTTGATTCTATTTGTGACTCATTGAGTTTCTTGAATCTGAAAGTAAATGCAGGGTCTTCCAACCTTCCTTATCTCCTTGCCATCTCCCCTATCCTGTTAGCAGAAGTAGAAACTAAGCTCTCTGCTTTTCCATTTTGTGAGTTTAATCAGAGAGTCTTTTTGTTGTTGTTGTTATGTGCCGTTGAGGCAGACCTGACTCACAGTGACTCCTCCTTGGGTTTCCGAGGCAGTATCACTATGGAAGTAGATTGTCCAACCTTCCTTCCGAGGAGTGGCTGGTGGGTTTGAACCGCCAGCTTTCTGGTTTGCAATTAAATGCCTTAGGCACTATGCCACCATCCAAACTCACAGAGTCTACTATGGCTAATTCAGTTGATTAGGGCATAGAGTAGGTAAGAAAGAAAAATATGGACTCAATTACAATTTGTGTCATTCAGTTTAATGAAAGAAAATCTTTTTGTGTTTTAGAGTCCATCAATGAACTAAGTTAGCACTGAGCTGATGTGTATCAGTTCCAAGTGGGCAGAAGTACGCTTACTCCTAGTGTAACACTCATCACACTCCAGTGTAATTACTAGTTTACTTATACGTACTACTCACTTGACTCTGATCTCCTTATAAACAGGAACTATTTCGTGCTTACTCTTATCTTCCCATTGCTTGACAAAGAGGCTTATGATTCGTAACCCTGACTGCACAACACAATTATCTGTGGTGCATGTGAAACAATACAGATGCTGGCCCTAATCCAGACCTATTGAATAAGAGTTTCTGGGGCTTATTACCAGGGCATCCTTACTTTAAAAAGCTTCACAGGGGATTTTGACATGCAGCCAAGATTAAGAACTACTACTTACTGAGTAAACACTCAGTAAATGTTTGTTGAAAAGATAATGAATAGATATTGAATGAAAAGTAAATAAATGGATAAATGACCAAATAAACATCTAGGATCATTACTACAAGGTTTTATTCACATCATTGGGTGACTATATGAAAAACCTAATACTCAGTCACATCAATAACTGACTATATGAAGAACATACTTTTAGTCACAAAGAGGATTATGAATAAAATTTTAAAATAATGTTAAGAAACAGGCCCCACTGCTACGTTTTGGTAAAATGTGATCATGGATACCAAACTATGATTTTAGTGGAGCAACTGAACTCTTAGATTTGCTAGGAATTTTATTGTCTTAAAACAACTGAATTCATGTATTTAATTATACCTGATAGTGACTGGGAATCTCCTTAACTAATCAACCATTTGTACATGCAGTAGAGAGCACATGTAAATAATTTTAACACCAGGCTATGTAGCTCACAAGCATTTACTATCTGAAATACAGCAAATATGCAAGGTAAACATTTCTATATTTCTTTTATAAAATAACATTAGGCATGGGAATGTAATGGCAACATTGGGAAATTTATATTCAAAAAAACATTTCACCATGATCTTAAGTGATTTTTTTTTTTTTTTTAGGTTCAAGGCTTTTATCCACAAAGATTAATACACAGTATTGTTAAGAGTTATGTGAGCTTTATTTCTCTTATCATCTATGTAATCCTAAACCATGATAGTTATCTCAACACTTTAAAATAAAACAATAAACCTGTTTTTCTCCTAATACTTTAAAACAGCAAAATTATAGTCAGTAAAGTTGACTACAAAAGGAAATTATAGGCTCTGGTAGCATAGTGCCTAAGGTATTTGACTGCTAACCAGAAGGCTGGTGGTTCAAACCCACCAGCCACTCCTCAGAAGGAAGACTGGATCTACTTCTGTAGTGATACTGCCTCAGAAACCCAAGGAGGGGTCGCTATGATTCGGATCTGACTCCATAGCAGTGAGTTTGGTTTTTTGGTTTATGCACTTCATTGGATGGACATAGTGGTTGCAACCATGGGCTCAAACACAGCAACGATTGTGAGAAACGGCACAGGACTTGTCAACATTTTGTTCTGTTATACAAAAGGTCGTTATAAGTCCAAATTGATTGGACAGCACCTAACAACAACAACATGTTTAATAATAAGGTGTTTTTCAGTTTACACACACAAACACACACACACAAAATGCACATGCACACACACATTTTAAAAAATGCACATGTAAAAGTAAATGTACATTAAACCCAGTATGGGATAAGAAGTTCTAATTTCAAATTAATTTTGAGACACAATTTGCCCTCTCTCACAGAAATGCTGAGAAAACTCATGACATAACAGAGTGACCCAAGCTGTGCAAGAAAATTGTTAAAGAGTTCTGCCTCATTAGAGGCACTCCATTCTCACTTTCCAGATCAGGTTTGTTGGTGGTGATGGTGTTTTTTTTTTTTCTTTCTTTTCCTGGTTTGTTTGTTTTCTCCTCTCATTTTGATTCTTAAGTTCCTGACAGTTTTGCATCCTTACTCTTTTCTTTCCCTCACATCTCACATTCACAAATTCTGACAATTTTCCACTATCACAATAGTCTAAGCCATCATTATGTTTTATACACACACCAGACAGATCCTTTTAATACAAAAATTAAATCATAACATTCCACTGTTCAACACTTCCAGTGTCTTCCTATCTTACATAAAACAAAAATGGAAGTTTATACCTTGGCCAAAAGTCCATACAGATTATGCAACTCCTGCCTCCTCTCACCCCATCTCTCTGACCTTGCTCTCTACCCTAGGAGTTCATGGCATGGTCCTGCCCCAGTCCTTTTATTCTTGATCTTACCTGTATTTGGAATGACTGCTTTCAACTACCTGGGTGACTTACTCCCTACATACAGATCTCTTTGCAAACACAGCATCACAAAGGTAGTCTCTAACCATACAGGCATACTTTGGAGATAATGTGGATTTGGTTTTAGCTGCCATAAAGCTAGTATCACAATAAAGTGAGTCACATTGATTTTCTGGTTTCCTAGTGCATATAAAGGGAGCTCTGGTAGCATAGTGGCTAAGACACTTGACTGCTAACCAGAAGGCTGGCGGTTCAAACCCACCAGCCACTCCTTGGAAGGAAGATGGGGCAATCTACTTCCATAGTGATACTGCCTCGGAAACCCAAGGAGGGGTTGCTATGAGTCGGGTCCGACTCAACGGCACATAACAACAACAACAGTGCATATACAAGTTATGTTTACATTATACTGTAGTCTATTAAGTGTGCAATAGTATCATGAAAAAGTTTGAAATATTGTGAGAATTACCAAAATGTGAAACAGAGACAGGAAGTGAGATCATACTGTTGGAAAAATGGTGCTGATAGACTTGCTCAATGCAGCGTTGTCACACAAGTTCCATTTGTAAAAAATGCAGTATTTGTGAAGGGCAATAGAGTGAAATTAATAAAACGAGGTATGCCAGTACTTAGAAAAAATGAAAAATAGCACTTTTTCATGAGCCTCCTTGTACATTGTTTTATTTTTCTTCATAAAACCTTTTCATCAGAGGACAAATATTTATTTGTTGAGCATGTGTCTTTCTCCATTAGAATATATACTCAGTGAAAATTGAGCCTCAGTCTTGTTTGTTCACTGCTATATTTCCTTTAGGAGTCTTGACTGTGCAGTGGTTAAAGCACTCAGATGCTAACCAAGAGGCTGGCAATTTGAAGCCACGAGCTGTGCCACAGGAGAAAGATGTGGCAGTGTGTTTCTGTAATGATTTACAACCTTGGCAAGCCTATGGAGAAGGTCTACTCTGTCCTATAGAGTTTCTATGAGTCAGAATCAACTTGACAGCAGTGGGTTTGGTTTTGGAAACTCTTTCCAACAAGAAGAGTTGGTGTATTCAGAGAATGATTAAATTTGTAATTTAAAGTTATAAACATGTTTATTGTTTAAAAAAACAAAAACAAAAATATTATGTGAATGAAGCAAAACATTACAGTTAAAAAAACCTGTGGCTGGAGGGCATAACTAAGAAGGGCACAGGGATGGGGGGGTCACTGGGAAGGGAGAGGAGGAGAGTCGATCAGAGCTGGGGATGGTAATTGGGGAGTGAAACCAAATGTACACGAACTATTGAATGTAAAACAAATTCTGCTCTGTAAATTTACACCTAAAGCACACACACACACACACACACAAACAAAACCTGTTGCTGTCAAGTCAATTCCAACTCATAGCCACTCTACAGGAAAAAGTAGAACTGCCCCATAGTGTTGCCAAGGGTGTAATCTTTATGCAAGCAGACTGCCACATCTGGAGCAAGTGGTGGGCTCCAACCACCAACATTTCAATTAGCAGCCAAGAGCTTAACCATTGTACCACAATGGCTCCTTTTACATTCAGTTTCAAACCAAAAAACAAAAAAAACAAACTCACTGCTATCTAGTCAATTCTGACTCATATCAGGCCTGTTCTGTTTCCAAGGCTGTAAATCTTTACGGAAGCAAATCACCTCATCTTTCTTCTGCTAACTTTTTGGTTAGCAGCCAGATGGCTTAACCACTATGTCACCAGAGCTCCTTTGCAATAAAGTTCCAAAAAAACCAA